AGCATATCACAATCATTCACTAGAACAGTTTCATGTAAAGCAAATTAGACAAACTTCATCCCGACTTCCGTGCTCCATTTCTTGAATTTCTACAAAAATAAGTAGAAATTCAAGAAACGGAGCATGGGAGACACGATGGGCTTGTTCAATTTGCCTAAATAAAATATTCCTACAAGAAACCGTCCTCGTGAATGGTTGTGAATAAGCATATCACAATCATTCACTAGAACAGTTTCATGTAAAGCAAATTAGACAAACTTCATCCCGACTTCCGTGCTCCATTTCTTGAATTTCTACAAAAATAAGTAGAAATTCAAGAAACGGAGCATGGGAGACACGATGGGCTTGTTCAATTTGCCTAAATAAAATATTCCTACAAGAAACCGTCCTCGTGAATGGTTGTGAATAAGCATATCACAATCATTCACTAGAACAGTTTCATGTAAAGCAAATTAGACAAACTTCATCCCGACTTCCGTGCTCCATTTCTTGAATTTCTACAAAAATAAGTAGAAATTCAAGAAACGGAGCATGGGAGACACGATGGGCTTGTTCAATTTGCCTAAATAAAATATTCCTACAAGAAACCGTCCTCGTGAATGGTTGTGAATAAGCATATCACAATCATTCACTAGAACAGTTTCATGTAAAGCAAATTAGACAAACTTCATCCCGACTTCCGTGCTCCATTTCTTGAATTTCTACAAAAATAAGTAGAAATTCAAGAAACGGAGCATGGGAGACACGATGGGCTTGTTCAATTTGCCTAAATAAAATATTCCTACAAGAAACCGTCCTCGTGAATGGTTGTGAATAAGCATATCACAATCATTCACTAGAACAGTTTCATGTAAAGCAAATTAGACAAACTTCATCCCGACTTCCGTGCTCCATTTCTTGAATTTCTACAAAAATAAGTAGAAATTCAAGAAACGGAGCATGGGAGACACGATGGGCTTGTTCAATTTGCCTAAATAAAATATTCCTACAAGAAACCGTCCTCGTGAATGGTTGTGAATAAGCATATCACAATCATTCACTAGAACAGTTTCATGTAAAGCAAATTAGACAAACTTCATCCCGACTTCCGTGCTCCATTTCTTGAATTTCTACAAAAATAAGTAGAAATTCAAGAAACGGAGCATGGGAGACACGATGGGCTTGTTCAATTTGCCTAAATAAAATATTCCTACAAGAAACCGTCCTCGTGAATGGTTGTGAATAAGCATATCACAATCATTCACTAGAACAGTTTCATGTAAAGCAAATTAGACAAACTTCATCCCGACTTCCGTGCTCCATTTCTTGAATTTCTACAAAAATAAGTAGAAATTCAAGAAACGGAGCATGGGAGACACGATGGGCTTGTTCAATTTGCCTAAATAAAATATTCCTACAAGAAACCGTCCTCGTGAATGGTTGTGAATATATATCGTATTTCATTCTTTCGTATCATAAAGGGGAAGAATCCCAATGCACGTGACATACATATATGCATGAGGCCCCTTAACATATCTAACATGGCATTACATAAGCAGTGCTAACATCGCATTTACGTTTCTTACATCACATGGCATCTCACATGGCTTACATTACATAGCATATTACATAAACATTCCAGTTGCATAAACATCTCATGACATGACTCGATAATTCTGTGTATCTATGGCATCGATCAACATATTCATGGCATATAATACTAACATCTCATTCATGACTTCACATAACATAAACAGTCAACCGTCAACATAATTCATACATCACATAACATACATAATCGACAGTCAACACAATCTATACATGACATAATCATATCACATAAATATGGTGCATGTAGGGGCCACAGGGCACGCACAATCATACAACACGTAGTAAGCTAACTCCAACAGTAAGATCACTTACCTCGATAGTCTTGGTTGAAGTCACTCACAACGAGCTAATCCCAGCGGTTAAATATGTCCTGTGTAACCACATAAAAACTTAGAACCTTTGGTAACATACCCTAACTAAACCTCATGCTATTTATCAAAATAAACCCTCGACCTAATTTAACGTTTAGGAACCATACTGACCTCGGATGTTAAAACTAAGGGCAGAAACGGCTTCGGAAGGGCCAAAAACCTTGAAATCGATATATTACAGTGATACCGATTCACCGAGCCGAGCTGCCGAGCCGACCAATTAAGCCGCCAAGCCGAGCTGCGGGTTTTGACGGAACCGAGCCGCCGTAGACGTCAAGCCGAGCCGAGAGCACGCGTGCGGAGCCGAGATCAAGGCTGCAGCGCGCGTCCGTGTTGGGCCGAAACGCACAGGGCCCGCGTTCGTTTCGTGGGCTGGTCCAGAGGCCAAACGTGAACCCGACCCGTTTTCCTTCGTCTTCCTTACCCGAAATCTCGCGAAAACCCTAATCGTCGCTGCGCCGCCCACGACGACGTCACAACCCCGATTCCGACGATGCGACGACACCCCTCGCCTATTCCGACCGACGCGCAACGATATTCAACACCGATAGCCTCGGTCGATTCTCCCTCCGGCCACTTACCGAAGAAAACCCAGCGAACCACCCCCACACGTTTTTCCTGGCTAACTCTCGATTTTTCCGTACTCTCACACGCCCTCGAAAACCCTAAACCCTAAACGTTTGGAGAACAAAAGTTGTTTTCAAGGAAGGAGGAGAGTTGTATACGGGAATAATAAATTTTAGGATAAAATCTAAAATAAATAAAATAAAAATTCGAATCTTTACAATATTATTCCTTTCCAATAATCTGCTTTAAAAATAACAAAATCATAATCATTCAACCTATCATAAATTTTATTCAAACGAAGTAAAATCATAAAATAATAGCAAACTCGATAATAAGAAAAAATAATAACAGACGTTAATACAGAAAAAAAAAAGTGTAATAAAAAATATAATATAAACTAGGAGTGTAACAAAAAAAAAATAATACAAAAGAAGTGTAAGAAAATGTTCAAAATCACGTAACAACAAATCAATATTAATGATAATATAATAAAAATTCTAAAAAATACTAATTCTTTTCCGGCCCACTTGAAATCCAAACCAAATTTATTCGGTTTTAGAAAATTAATTCAACCCCCAACTCGAAATGCACATCCATAATTATTACATGACCAAATAAAAAAAATTCAAATATAAAAATAAACTGTTGCTCTAAAATAACTCCACCATGCAACTATTAATATTCATTTTTAAAACATTGTAACCTATCTGATTTTATTTATAATTAGAAGAAATCGATTCATATAAATGCAAAAACTCTTACCTTTTGCACAAAGTTGCAAATATTCTACCATCTCTTCGATAGGACTCGATTGTGTAACCTATTGAAATAAAATACTGATATTAGGGGAGAGAGTTTGAAAAAAAAAATCGAATAGAAATTATGGGATGTATATCTTGGTTCAACCCAATAGTATTATTTATAGGATTTTAAATAATGTTATTAAAAATATATATTTAAAATATATCAAGATTTCAATTAATTTAAATCTTATTCAAATTTTGAATTTAAGAAGATGTAATAATATATATTTAATTAATTTAAATATTATTTAAATTTTAAATTTAAAGAATCTTAACCAAATCATCTTATTTCAATTATATATATTTAACTAATTTAATCCTTATTCAAATTTTGATTTTAAAGAATCTTATCAAAATAATATATTTTAATATCGAGGATATAATATCTTATTTCAGCATATATATTTAACTAATTTAATTCTTATTTAAATTTAAAAGAATCTTTTTTTTATTTTAAATAAAAGATTCTTTATTAAATAATATATTTAAATATCTAATATATTAACTCATGATCATTCTCTAAATTCACGGTCTTTTATTCTCCTCTCCAACCAAGGAAGATTTCTACACGGTTATAAAGGTAGTCTTGTTCTCCCTCCCAGCTAATGTAGATATCACAATCAATTTTGAGAAAAATACGAGAATAGATACCCAAAAATATTTCAAGATTTGGAGGTTTTGGAGAGAGATGGAACATTGATGAATTGTCTTAGCCTGGCTTATTTAAGCTAGTAATTAGCCTCCACCCAATTACGCTTTTTTTATTTTTTTATTTTTATTTTTTATGTCCTAATAACCTTTTTATTTTTGTGTTCCATAAATTTAATTCAATTTAACTAAATAAACACATAAAATACGACTTTTATTAAAAAAAAAATGAAGAAAAGAAAGGAGATAGGTAAAAATGAGAATAGGAGACCAAATAAGGACTCACAATGATGATACAATACTCTTCATTATGAGTATAAACTCTCGTAACTTTGCTCTGGACTTTCCAAAAGATTTGGAGATAGTATTCCTTGTTTATAGACCCAAAACCACTCCTTAAATTAGCCACGACTCAATCCCAACAATTCTCAACGATTGCACACAGAAACTAAATAAAAATAATAAAATAGAAAAATAGAAAAAAAAGCGTAAAAAAATAAAATAATATAAAAAAAAATGTAAATATTAGGATTCGAAGGTATGCATGCAGATTATTTGAAAAGTCTCAAAACCACTCCCAACAACAAATTCATATTTACATTAATACAATAAAATAATTTTTTTTCAGTTATGTTAAATGCCAATTCTTTTCTCGCAAATCAAATTTATTCCGTTCCAAAAAAATTAACCTAACCTAACTCGAAACATTATCAATGTACCGCCGTAACAATTATACAATCAAATAAAAAAAAAACACAAATATAAAGATAAAAGAATATTTATCTAATTATAATGTTTCATTTATGATTATTGTAACCATTCTTTTTAGTTTCCAAATTTGTAAGTATTGTATTTTAGTGTCTAAATGATGTATAAAAGTTAAGCTAATCATTGTCATTAATTTCTTTTATTAGGCTGTTAAGTGTTTTTATATTAACTTTTTAAGAAATCACACTGAAACAACTAAAAGCCTAGCCGATATTAACATCTTTGAACGTTTACTTTCCCACTTCAGCTTAAAATTTTTAAAATACGTCTGTTACGGAAAGGTTTCCATCCCTTATAAAAATGTTTCATTTTCCTCTCCAACCGATGTGGGATCTCACAATCTACCTCCTTTCAAGGCCCAGTGTTCTTGTTGGCATTCGTATCCTTATTCACTCTAGGTGAGATCTCACAATCCACCCCCTTCGTGGTCCAGCATCCTCGTTGCATTTGTTCCACTCTCCAATCGATGTGGGATCTCACAATCCACCTTCTTTCAGGCCCAGCGTTCTTACTGACGTTCGTTTCCCTCTCTAATCGATGTGGAATCTCATAATCCACTCCCTTTGTGACTCATTCTCGCTACATTAGTTCCACTCTCTAATCGATGTGAGATCTCACACTCCACCTCCTTTCACGACCCAGCGTTCTTACTGGCATTCGTACCCCTTTCTACTCTACGTGAGATCTCACAATCCACCCCCTTCGTGGTCTAGCATCCTCGCTACATTTGCTCCACTCTCCAATCGATGAGGGATCTCACAATCCACCTCCTTTCGGGGTCCACTGTCTTGCTGACGTTCATTTCCCTCTCCAATCGATGTGAGATCTCACAATCCACCTTCTTTCGAGGTCCAGCATTCTTGCTGGCATTCGTTTCCCTCTCCAATCGATTTGGAATCTCACAATCCACCCCTTTGTGATTAGACATCCTCGCTGCATTCATTCCACTCTCCAATCGTAAGATCTCACACATCAAATTAATTTTCAATACAAAATCAAGACATTAACTTAAACTAATTATTTATATAGAATTCTAAAATTCGATCTTTTTTTTTTTAATGTTATTCTATTTCCTCAATTATGTCACCAAAAAAAAATCAAAATTAGATGGTTTTGTTGGTTGACTTCCAAATAGAGGTCATACTCATAGAGTTTCGTGCCTCCGGCAATCTCCAAGCCATTTCAAAGTTAGGGAAGAAATTAAAAAAAAAAACAGAGAAAATTATATAAAGCTTCAAATTTCCCGGTGAATATTAAATCGGGGTTGTTGGGTAGAGTTCATTTCCACAATCAAGCGCCGCGTGGACTCGCGCCCCAATCTGTCGGCTGCTATGTCCCATCATTGGCCTCATGTTTCCCAATCCAACGATTAATCTTTCAGTTCCTAGCAACCCCTTTTGCTCATCCCCTGAATTCGATCACACCCAAATAAAATCCCAAATCGGGTATTCAATTTTTAAAAATTTCTTACCATTTCCAAGTTCCCACTGCCGCATAAGACAATACATTAATGCCCTTCACGCTTTTCCTCTGAAATATCATCGGGGAAGATTTCCGCGCGACCAATCCGCTCCATTCCGGTAATTATTTTCGGCTCACTGGTTCATCTGCTACAATTTCACTTTACTTTGCCCCAATTATTGAATTTGGTACTGTTACATTATGTTATTTGGTATAGCTTTGATTCTTTTACTGATTTGTTCATAGCTTTGATTCTTTTTCTGTTCGTTTTTCTACTGGATTTATGGATTTGATTGTGATTTCTGAAAAGGGTTGTGGTGTTCTATCGTGGGGTTATCTTATTGGAACTGCTGATGTTGAATTCGTTTCTATTTTCTGTATGTTCCCTTTTTTCTTTGTGGATTTAGTGGCTTAACAGAGTTATTGGGAACCCTTTATGATGAAATTGTTGAAGAACATAGCAGATTGTGGGTTTGTTTAGTGAAAAATGTCGTCTAGGTATTGTGATGGTAGAGGAGAGTCTGATGGGGGTCGGCTTCTTGAGGAAATTGAGGCAATAAGTAAGGCTCTGTACTTACACAAGGGCCACACAAATTCGAGTTTCGATCTTCCTGATCGACGGTTCGAATCAAATGAAGAAGAATTATTGGTGAATGAAACTAGAAGGTCGTCGTCATCATCATCTTCTTGGAACTGGAAGAAGTCTTTGAAAGCTCTTACTCATATTCGACATCGAAAGTTCAATTGTGTGTTTTTTCTGAAGGTTCATTCCATTGAAGGGTTACCCTCGAGTTTTAATGGCTATAGTTTACATGTGCATTGGAAAAGGAAGGATGAGGTTTTGCATACTCGCCCGTCTAAGGTTTTTCGAGGCGTGGCGGAATTTGATGAGACTTTGATTCATAAAACTTCGATATCTGGTGGGAGAAGTTTGGCTAACAACTCGGCGAAGTATGATCAAAAGCTTTACTTGATCTATGTTTCTATGGTCGGAGCGCCACGGCTCGAGTTTGGGAAGCATTGGATTGACCTGACGAGGATTTTGCCTCTTACATTGGAGGAGCTTGAAGGGGATAAATGTTCTGGGAACTGGTCAACCAGCTTTCGACTTGCTGGCAATGCGCGAGGTGCTACTCTAAATGTCAGCTTTAGCTTTCTGGTAACTAAGGACGATCCGATGAAATTGAGCGGTCCCGAAAACGTTGTCGAACTCTTGAAGTTATTGCATGATAGGTCAAGGCTTTCTACCTATGATGCACCCTTTACTTCAAGTAATTTAAATAGGTTTCGGGTTGATACGGGAATTTTCGATGAAGTAAACCCGAAATTGGAGCTCTCAAAGTCGATAAGCGTTTTGTATAGTAAGATGGATGAGGTAGATCATTCAGGTTCTGAGTTTGCCAAGCAGTTTGAAGTAAAAACTAATGAGGAACAAAAGTCTCCTGAAGTAATTGGTGGAGATAGTTATGAGAGTTTTAAGTTTTCCATTGTTGAATGTGGAATAGAATTAGCTGTTCAGACTATTGAGGGCTCGAAAATTGAAACGGTTTCATTGGACGAAGTCGTTGGAGATGACAAAGTTGCTACCGAATTTAAGTCGAGCAACACGTTGAAGGATTCGGAGTGCGATATTCATGTAGATGACTCGATAAGGGATGAATTCGAATATGAAGAGAGTAAGCTAAAACTAAAAGTAGAAGAAGTTTCTCCAGAAGAGTTGAGTTCAGATTCTGATCTCAAGAACTCTCCCTCGACCGTTGGTGAACTTCTCGAAGAGGAAAACGATATCGATGCCGAGGAAGATTGTACGAGAAGATCTCTTAGCCTGGATGAGTCTTACAAATCCGTGGCTAGTGATTTTCTAAAGCTGCTGGGGTTGGAGAATGGTTCGGCGAGGTTTTCAGATCCTGATATATCGTCTCCCAGAGAGCGTTTATTGAGGGAATTCGAGGAGGAGTCCCTACTTTTTGGTAATCCGTTATTGGACTTTTCGGGTACAGAAGAGTGGCAGGATAACGAAAACGTCGATATGCTGGAGTCTGCTTCTGGGGATTTTGATTTTTCTGTTCGTGTTGCTGAAGGACAGGAGGGGCATCAGTCCTTGAGAAACAGAAGGAACGTCGAAATTCTCGAAAACTTGGAGACCGAAGTTCTAATGCGAGAATGGGGCTTAGACGAGAGAGATTTCGAGCATTCTCCACATTATTGTTCGAGTGGATTTGGGAGTCCTATTGAGTTGCCCCCAGAAGACGAGCCACCTAAGTTACCTTCACTCGGAGATGGGTTCGGAGCATTCCTTAAGATGAACGGCGGGTTTTTACGGCTCATGAGTCCTTGGCTCTCTCAAAAGACTAGCATTGGACAGAGCTTAGCCATTCAATGTTCTGATCCTGTTGTTCTACCTAATGAAATGGGTCGTGATATCATGGAGATATCACAAAATCTAGCAATGGCAGGAACCAAAAACCTTTCTATACTCACAAAAAAGTTGATGCCTTTGGATGATATCACTGGGAAAACTCTCCACCAAATGATATCCAGTTGGAACTCGTGTGGTTCGGTTTCATGTTGTCGAAGGAACAACCCTGAAGGATTGCCATCGTATCCGAACAATAGTAGTCTTCGATCTCTTCTCGATTTCGAGATGCACCAAGAACTCATGTCACCTGATGATCTAGCTTTTCTAGCAATGGACAAGATTGAAACTCTCTTAATAGAAGGATTAAGAATTCAATCTGGCTTTACAGATGACGAGACACCACGACGAATCGGTGCTCGCCCGTTTCATTGCGTGTCAGCCTGTGGACCGAGACGTCCCAATCGGGATGGTTCTTGTAGCTCTGAAGGATTGAAGGAACTGCAGTTTATCGATCGCCCCGAAACAGCTAATGATGTTGTTGGGTTGATGGATCTTTGTATAACATTGAAGAACTGGTTAAAGCTTGATGCTGGTAACATTAATGATGATGGTGATCCAAATGGTCAGCATATTATGAAGACTCTTGTGGCTCATGGTGCTAACTATGCAGACATAGTTGAAAGGCTATCAGTTAACAAGTCCGGGGTATCCAGCAAAGAGATGGGCTTGTTTAAGAACAAGCTTGTGGTGGCTCTCATGGTGCAACTTCGAGATCACTTACGAGACTACGAACCGGTGGGCTGCCCAATGATGTGCATAATGGAGGTCGAGAGGTTCTTTATCGACACAGCTCATGACGCCGTCAGTGAAATGAGCTGCGTCGACAAGGAGAACGAGACATTGCAAGCACAAGGACACCATGTTCATGCATTTAAACTCGATGATATTCATCTTTTGGGTGTAAATTCTGAGCCTAATAGGATGCAATTCTGGGGAACCACGACGCAGCAGCAATCTGGGTCGCGTTGGCTGCTTTCAAGTGGAATGGGTAGAAACTTCAAGCTCCCGATATCGAAGTCGAAAGCAATCGTTACATTTTCGTCAAAAGCTCCGACTGGCGATATCTTGTGGAGCATTTCCTCTGATATACATGGTGAGGGAATGATCTCTGCTTCAACAGCTTCGAGTTCATATAAAAGAAACTTCGATGTCGTGATCCCGATCCGTAGTTGATCGATCGATCGCTTGGCCTTGTATTTTGATGAGTTTCCCATTACTATTTCTTTTCATTTTGTTTCACTGTAAAGGAATTGATCAAAGCAAAAGTTTTCATGTCTTCATATCATAAGGCTACTTTGTTATATATTGGCTGAATCCAGAGCCATTTCTCTGTAAATCTATGCGTTCGCTACCCGTACCGTGTTCTTCGAGTTTATGGCACAAAGAGGAGAAAGGATATGAAGCTAGAACAACGATTCATGCATTCGAGAAAACACTAGAACTCGTACCCGATAACGATTTTCATACTAAAAAAAGATTGAAATATTTTCTTATGAACTTTCATGGGTATGGACACCCTCGTAGGTCGTTATCACGTATTTTGGATCATCTCGATCTCTTTCGACTCTCTTCTTCACCGGGCAGCCTTCGACCGAGCATTTGTAGTAGTTCCTGCATTTCATAAATCGTCATATCAATTTAGATGAACACAAACAACGTTTCTTTTTCATTGCGTTTTAGATCATCTACCTCGGATTCGGGCTGTTCTTCACCATCTTCTTCCCATACTTCCTCCACTTGAACCCATCATCCAAAATCTCAACTTCTGATTTCGTCTTGAATGCAAATCTTTCACGAACTTATGAAAGATCATCAATATATCAGGAGGAATCATCAAGAACATATGAATACTAAAATGTAACAAAACTTATGCGCTTACCACTGCTAGGCTCTCCTTGGTGGATGGTGTTCCGAGCAAGCTCATCAACCTCGTCCCATTGATAACCCGGATACATCACCGTGTCGACCAGAGACGAAGCGTTTACATCGAGCCACCCGTCAAACATCGAGTCCGTAAACTCGATCCCGGGCTGCTCGGCAAGATCGCTCTCGGATGTCGCCGGGTACTGGTTACTATTGTACGACATTTGGAAGGTGAGAAGCCAAAAGTTAACAAAAACAAAGTTGTGGAACAAAAATATGAAGTGAGTTAAGGTTGACAGGCAGCTTCCCACTGAGCTTCCTACCAAAGTTAAGGAAGGTTCAACGGTAATGCTTAATATGATGAAAGGTGAAGACCAACAAGGGTAGAATATTAAGTCTGTGGGGTATGATGCCAAAAGAGATGACTTTGAGTAGACTTTCAGCTGCATGTTTTTGTTTGAGCTTCAACATTAATATCTATCCCCCAAAATCAACCCCCTTAATGGGCACTAAAGATACCGTGCGGTAAACACGCAATAGATCTCGTCAATTCTACATATGCTAGAGTGAAGTTTGTCCCGATTGACCAACGTACATATGTGTTCCTAGTTGAGCTGTTTGTTAGGTTTTGTTTTCACTCATACGCTTCTACAGAAGATTGTTCCAAGTCGTAGTTAATTTTAGAGTTCTTACTATTAGACCGTGCACTCTTTCTTACCTGTGCTTGCTTGGTCTCGGGATATGTCTCATTTGAATCTTCACTGTAGTAAGGAGTAACTTAGGAATTGATTTGATCATATGTTGAATTGACGATGTATACTGCGTGTTTATTGCTAGGAATCTCTTTAAGGAGATACATATAATCGCTAAAGTGGACTCCACTGTCTCCTTTAGTGTGAGATCCCATATTAATTAAAGAAGGGAACGAATCATTCCTTATAACGATATGGAAACTTCTCACTATCAGACGTATTTTTAAAACGTTGAGGGAAAACCTGAGAGGACAATATCTTCTAGCGTGGGGCAGGAGAGATTACATTTAGCAAACCCAAGAGGAAGATACACCAATTCTAATAAGTATTTCTTACATCGCTCGAACAGTGCAGATAATACGACATAGATTTTTATAACCGTGCTTATTTGGATAGATTTAGAATCTCTCATTTGAATGTGATATCAGCTCGTTCATGTAGCACAACGGTGACAGATCGGGAATGTACACATAGTAAGCATATGATTTGACATGTTTGAAATTGAATTTGTTTGCGTTTCAAAGCGAATAAAGGGGAAAACGTAGCCCATTTGATAGGGTTTTCACATAGCGAGTGGTTCATGTGGCCTCATTTGTTTTGGTCTTTGAAAGCAACCATTTTCATTATTTTAAATCTCCAAAGTCCCACAATGTTTGAAACTTCTCAACACCTCGCTTCTCTAATTTGGGAAAAATCTTAACTCAAACCTTAAACCCTAATCCTTTTTCAATTTACACCATCGAATTTAACATTACCGACATGTAATAGTCTAAGTCCACCACTAATGCGTCCGGTAGGGATCTCACAATCCACCTTTCTTAGGGGTCCAACGTCCACGCTAGCACACCGCCTGGTATACCACTCGGTGGATTGTGAGATCTCACATCAACTAAACAGAGAACAAAGCGTTCCTTACAAGAGTGCGAAAATCTCTCTCGAATGTATTTTAAAATCTCAAGGGGAAACCCACAAGGGAAAGTTCAAAGAAGACAATATCTGCTCGTGATGGGATTAGACGGTTACAAATCACATTTCTGGTTGTTATTTCTTTGATATTTTTATCTAATTTAAAATACCCTAAAAATGCAACAAATTCTTGACTACAAATATATATAAATAAAGTTTATTGATCGGGTATGCTTAGGTCAATTCAATAATATTTTAGAGAATAAAACACATGTTACTGACAATCAGGTATTGAGTAAAGAAAGGAATAAAAACGCTCCTGTTAAGTTGTTTTAGATTCATAATTATACTTAAAAGGTCAAAAATTTTAAAGTTTCATCTCTAACCAACATCCCTTCAATTCTCGAGATAACGGGATCGTTTAAATATTTTAATAATAACTTTGACAAGAAGGTTTAGCCCTCATTTTCCAAGAAACTCTATGTATTGTGCCAAAAGTAATTTCCCTTTCAAATTGAAGTGATTGGCTAGATGTTGTGGTTGACCAAGGTTCAAGGGTTGGTGAGGAAATTAGTTGAAGGAAGGAGGGGTATTATGGACATTGCACTTAAAAGTTGTTTTTTTTTTAAAAATAAAATTAATTAAAATTAGAATTGGTATATTGCCATGTTAAACCAATCAAGTATCAAATTTTAAAGATTATTTTTCTAAAATTGTAAATATTCTTCCTCAAGAAAAAAAAAAAAAGAATATTATTTTGTTTTGTTATTTATTTTGAATAAAAAATGTTTAATCATTTTAAGCTAAGAAGATCAATCATATTTTGCAATTTTAAGTATATATTTTAATGATGAAAATAAATTAAAGATGCGTTAACTAAAATAAATTAAATACTTGATTATTTATGAGAAATATTCTTAGTTAGTTATTCAAAAAAAAAAATTAAATCATTAATTTGCTACAATTGGGTTATCAAATTATCTAATTATCGTATTTTAAATACTTAGTAAGCGACCCTGCTGTTATGTCAGAGGATGAAAACAGATGCAAAAATGTTAAATATCTGAATCTATTTTTTATTAGCTTTCATTTAATTAACCATATCGTCCAACATGGCCATATCATCACACGCGATTGTATTGCTACTCTCTCTTCTGACCGTATCGTCAAGTTTCAATATGTATAATTGTGACCATATAACCCGTCAAGTTTCAATATGTATAATTGTGACCATATAACCAGAAAACATAGGTAGTCATATCGTGGCTCTTACTCCTGACCCTATTAATCTCACTTAGATAAGCTTTTAGATTCTTTAATTCGACTTAAACTTAAGAGAACACTTTAAAATGCTAAAATTGAAGGAAGCTGGCCTTGTGCTAAATTAGTTAGAAAGTGGATATCGATCAAAATTATGGTTGAATTAGTTAATATCAGTCACGAATTCGAGCAAAGAAAGCTTAACGGGTTGGATTAAAGACTAAACTAAAATTTCAAATTTACAATGATAAACTAAGATAAAATTGATATTTAAAAGAAAAATAACAAAATATTCTCTAATAAGAATATTAATAATAATAATAAGTCATGGTCAATGGAGGAGAGGAGGCCCACCATTAAAAATTGGTCCAATTGCTTCATTTTTTAGTTGCAAAAGTCAAAAGAAAAAGAAAAGATTCATTCCACGGTGGATTTAGGAACGGGAATATGGTGGGTCACCTACGTCATTTTGCTGACGTATTATGCCACGTGGACATCCGAATACTGCGACAACTCAGTCAACTTCAAAGACTCAAAACCACTGCCCGAGGCATGGTTGACTGAATCAATAAACTTCAGTACAGCGGCTATCGCCGTCGTCGGAAACATGTTGATGCCTCTTACTTTGTTTTTATGAAAGATGGTAAGGATGGAAGATGCATGTTAGATTTAGTATATTAAATGTAAAGAAAAAATGTGTTTAAATTAATATTTTATGTATATAATATAAAGAGAAAAAATATATATTGAATTTGAATGGTTTAAATTAATATTTAATATACCATAAAAAAAAAGAAAAATATATTTAATTTGATAGGTTGAATTGGTAGTCATTAAAAGAAAAATAATGTTTTTTTTAAGAAGATAGTTATAGTAATTATAAATGATTAAATAAGTTTATTATTGTATAAGATTAAAGCTATAAATACTATGTTATAGCGTAACAATGCTATTATAAGTTAAACATAACTTCATACTCCATAATAGAACGTTATAGAAAGTCTCGAACATTTAATAGTATCACCTGTCAAGATTATGTAGAAAGCTATCAAAAGTTTACGAGAGTTGTTAACTAGCTATCATATCTCGTATTTGTTGTAGTGATTGTTTAGACTCGAGAAATTTGATACTACTCATGAGCATGCTATGTAGAAGGTTTTCTACGATAGGTTGCATGATGTTGGTGATCTCGTGGTCAATTTTACAAATAGACAAGATCTCTCAAAGAATCTAAAACACGTCTATCTTTGACTTTTAAATATTATTTAAATAAAATATTATATCTTGATATATTAAATATTTAAATATATTATTTTGAAAATGTTCCTTCAAATAAAATTTAAATTAATTAAATATATAATTAGATATTTTAGAAAGATTTTTTTAAAATAAAAAATTTGAATAAGACTAAAAAGTTAAATAGATGCGGTTATATTTTGACTTTTAAATATTATTTAAATAAAATATTATATTCTAATAAATTAGATATTTAAATGTATTATTAGTAGAGACCTCCTAAATTTTAAATTTTAAATCATAATTTGAATAAGATTTAAATTAGATAAATATGGTTGAGTTTTAAACATAATATTATATTTTAATATATTAAATACTTAAATATATTATTTCAAAATTAAAATTTGAATAAAATTTATATTCTGACTTTTAAATATTATTTTAATAAAATATTATATTTTAATGCATTAAATATTGAGATAGGAAGATTCTTAAAAATTGGAATAAGATTAAAATTAATTAAATAAATTGGTTATATTTTGACTTTTTAAATATTTTAAAATAAAATATCTTAGTACATCGAATATTCAAATATATTATTTTGACAAAGTTCTTTAAAGTCATACTATGGTGTTGACTAAAAATGTATCTCACAATTTCTTGGAACCTTTCTTTTTCCAATTCTAGAAGAACTTTGGCGTGTCGGAATGTACTAATGATATTTGCAACTTTGGGTACCAGTTTTTGCTCTTGCTCTTATATGAATATTTTTTATTTTAATTATAAATAAAATTAAATAAGTTCTCATTGTTTAAGAATGAATATTAATAGTCATGCGGTTATAAAAATATTAATTTTCGACCACCCATTCATTTTTATATTTGGTTTTTTTGTAATTGTTAGGCTGTACATTGACAACATATCAGTTGAGTTGAGTTAATTTGTTGAAACTAAATAAGTTTGGTTCGAGTTTTGAGTTTGGTGGAAAAGAAATCACATTTACTCGAACCAAAAAATATTATTTTATTGTATTGACATAAATATATGAATTTCAAATAATCCACGTCTAATCCTAATATTTACATTTTTTAAAATATTTTTTTTTATTTCATTCTACTATTCAGGTTTGAATATGATCTGACTTATACATGTATTTAGATTATTTTGAAATAAAAATCTATTATGTTCAGGGTATCGTAAGCATATATTTCAATCATTTTAAAGCATATTATTTTTATTTTACATATTCACTCTTTTAAAAAGTTTATTATTTTACTTTGTTATTGTTATTTATTATCTATTTGTTGCAATCTATTTTATCATAATTTGAAAACTATAGAGTGGTTCGAAAAATTTCCTCGACCCAACCCATCGGTCGGGTTCGGTTCCGCATGCAACCCTAGTAATTATATTTCTTTTAGTCTTGTTTTCCATTATTTCTGTAACATTTTCCAATTTCTCTTCTCTTACTTTCTTCAACCTTTTCCACGATCTCAGTTCGTACGCATTATTTTCTCATCTTTTCCCCACACACGACACGTAATCGACGAATGGCGATTTTACTCGCATCTTGGCAACAGAGGCGATTAGATTCCTCCAATGGCTCGATGGTAAGAGTGAATAAGTTTGAGATTCCACAGATTCTAATTTTCTCTAACAAGAACTCTTCCTTTTTTTTTTTTTTTTTTTTTTTTTTTTTTTTTTTTTTTTTTTTTTTTTTTTTTTTTTT